TAAAGTCTGGAGTTTATGAGATTGAATTTTTTTTTTTTCCTGGGCCATTTCCCAAGCCAAAGGAATCGCTGTCCTCAGCTTCAAGCAACATGGCAATCATTTGAGGTTTTCTCTGATACTAGAGAAGCCTGAATTTTCCTTGCTTTGTACATTTTAGCTTCCCTGGTACATGGCTCTTGAACACAAGGTGTTTTTACTGGCTTCCTTTGAGTAGATTCAGCCCTTTTGATGACTTTTAAAAAATCACTGTCTGGAAAGTGATTCCTTCTTCCTTTCGCCGAGGTCAGAAGCAGTGAGTGGCTGCGGGTGGGACTTCAGTGAAAATGGAGTGAGTGGCATGTGTGTTTTCTAACTTGTTATTATTTTCCAAGTTTTTCATTATTTTTTGACTGTATTGATTCTCATGCCGCTAATATTATCTTTTCTTCATGCTGATCTTGCTGTGGTGATGGATTCAAGGACATGAGAGAGGACATGACAGTAATCTTCCACTATCGGGCTGAAAAGGAAATAGAAGGTGAGATATTGTAGGGAGGTGGCACATTGCAGGGAGACAGACATCGAGTCAAGAGAAAGTGATAGTATCTAAGAATTAAGGCCACTCAAAAATAGAATTGATAATAGTATATCTATGTGGATCTGTATAGTCGGGGAGGGTGCACCGCTGGTAACGAAGATTGGGATAGATTGACTCCACTGTTATGAAGAATATTCAAGGTATAATATTAAGTGAAAGAATTGGTATGCGCAGTTTAATTTCTTTGGGTAAAATTGAAATGATATGGAAATACGCACAATGGTACTTAAAACTTTCTAGACAAAATTTATTTTATTTTTTAAATCTTTCTTAAAATAAATATTTTTTTTTGAGAGAGAGAGAGAGCACACACAAGCAGGAGAGGGTCAGAGAGAGAGGGAGAGAGAGACTCTCAAGCAGGCTCCGTGAGGTCAGCCCAGAGCCCAACGCGGGGCTTGAACTCAGGGAACCGTGAGATCGTGGCCTGAGCCTAAATCAAGAGTCGGCTGGGCTGCTTAATCAACTGAGCCACCCAGGTGTCCCTAGATGGAAATTTTAAAAAGAAACAAACGTGAATCATGTATACCCCTGGACCAGAAAATGCAAAGCACAGAAGGGGAAAACTAACTTTCTCGTTTATACCCTTTGTACAGATGGCAGTTTTTCCCCTGAAGCATTTTTATAATACAAAAAACCTAGTTTTATTTTTTTGAGTAAATTTAGTATCTTAAAAAAAAAGAGTGGATGCTAACTTGTAAGATAATGAATTTCCAATCAGTGGAAGCACTGAAGCAGAATTTGGGGGAATATTTGTGAGGAATGCTTGCTTTTAAAATTACCTCCTGGTGCTAAGGTCCCGTGATTCTGTTATATTAAAGGACTTAACGCCACCAAGCACGTGCATTTTCCCAGCTTGCTTCCCCCTGGAAAGACTTGAATAATGAAATGGATAAGATTAACCCATTGTCCAGGATTGCTTGTCAGGTGGAAACAGGATATGATTTCTCTGGAAGGAAATATTTGACTTTTTTCAGCATGGAGGGATGTTTTTGGCTAAAGATCCAGAATCCAAGAAAACAAAAGGGCTGTAAAGTGTTGCTCTTCTCAGTGATATGGATTCCACAGAGGTAGGCTGCCATTTTGTTTCTGCTGTCATGAGCTTACTATCCTCGTTAACACTCATCAGGTCTTTACCGTCTGGATGAGTCCTTGTTTTCCTGAGGGGGTAATGAGAGAAGAGATGACATTCCAGGGATGCACAAGCTCAATTCAGTCTTTTCTCTTCTCTACCTCACTTACCTTCTTATCCCCCTTAGCGGAGGTAGGATTGACTTTCCAGTTGCCTAAGATTGGGGTTTCACCTTGTTCAGTAACACATCATGAATCTCAGTTAAATAGCAGTGGTTAAAGACTAGCCTAGCACCACCTCTCAAAGGAAAATGAACACATACTTTGCTCTCCACTTTTCCCTATATTTTGCAAATACTTTATATTTTCCTGTTCTTCAAAAATCTGTAGTAAGGAAATTCCAAAATCTGCCCTTACTTAGCTGCTTGCATCCCATGGTGGTGATAGTCAGAATTGATCCTGCCTTTTTCTTTTTAACATTACTCTCTGTTTTAAAATTTTTTTAAGTTTATTTATTTTTAGACTGAGAATGAGAGCACAAGCGGGTGAGGGACAGAGAGAAGGAGAGGCAGAATCCCAAGCAGGTTCCCTGCCATCAGCACAGAGCCTGATGGAGGGCTCAAACTCACAAGCTGTAAGATTGGGACCTGAGCCAAGATCAAGGGTTGGACGCTTAACTGACTACGCCACCCAGGCACTCCAGATCCTGCCTTTATTTAAAATTTCAATATTTTGATCATCATGGATTTTTGCTTAATTAGCTTTTTAAAACAATATTGCATTAAAATTGTCTTCATCTTGGGGCACCTGGGTGGCTCAGTCAGTTAAGTGTCTGACTTTGGTTCAGGTCATGATCTCGCCGTTTGTGAGTTCGAGCCCTGCATCGGGCTCTGTGCTGACAGCTCAGAGCCTGGAGCCTGCTTCAGATTCTGTGTCTCCCTCTTTCTGCTCCTTCCCCGCTTGCTCTCTGTCTTGCTTCAAAATAAATAAATGCTAAATTTTTTTTTTTTAATTATCTTCATCTTGATTGCTGAGTATTTTTGGTGCTCCCTTACATTTTGTGCCCGAGATGAGAGCCTCATGTACCACATTTCACTTCCAGCACTGTCCAAAAAGGTTTTTTTTTTTTTTTTTTTACCAACTACAATCTTTCTTTAAAAACCGAAGTTGGGCACCTGGGTGGCTCAGTGGGTTAAGCGGTTAAGTGACTCTTGGTTTCGGCTCAGGTCATGATCTCAAGGTTTTGTGCGTTTGAGCCCTGGGTCTGGCTCTGCACTGGCAGCAAGGAGCCTGCTTGGGATTCTCTCTCTCCCTCAAAATAAATAAATGTACTTAAAAAAATAATTAAAAATAAAAAAAATTTTAATGAAGTTAATCTCCTCTGGATCTGGCTGTTGGGTGCCCAAATTTCTATGAAGTGCCTGTTCAGAGACCAACTTAGTCTCATGTGAGACTGTCAGCTTTCTCTTCTCTAGGGTCTGTTAACCCACTTTTACCTTTTCTCTTCAATCTTCTGCACAACCTCATTGTAGGGTCTCCCTGGAAGAAGAATTGAACAATTAGCAAATTTTTTGGTATGTTTAGAAGAGAAACTGTTAAGAAGAAAATCTGGATTATAATGGAGAGTATAAAAAGAAAAAATAATTTGAGATTCTCCATTTACTATCCAGAAAAAATATTTTTAGCATTTTGGTATATTTACTTCCAACCCATTTTTAGTGGTGTGTGTACCATTCCATGGGTTTCCTTTCTTTATTCCTTCTTTTTTCTTTTCTTTTTCTTTTTGAAAAATTATGGACTGCCTATTTCTCTTTTTCTTTCTTTCTTTCTTTCTTTCTTTCTTTCTTTCTTTCTTTCTTTCTTTCTATCTATCTATTGTATAGACATGTATATTATGTGTGCACTTATTAGACATGTATTTGTTGCATAATTCCTATCAGATGGATATATTATAATTCATTCTTCTTTATTTGTATTGTTTTTCACATTATTATAAATAATCTCCTAAAAGCTTCTTATACATATATCCTGATACGTATCTGTGATTATTTCTTTAAAATAAATAATTGGAAGTAGAAGTATTAAGTCAAAGAGAATGGACACTCATTGTCACTAATATGCTAATATTCCATTTACTTACCAAGGAAAACATCCTAAAATTTTTTCCAGTTTCCCAGTGTTTTCCAGATTTTCTATTTTCTCCCCCATGCAAACTCATTCCCAGAGTGAGGAAAATGCATTTGCTCTTTCCAATAAGAAATCTGGGGAAAAAAAGCGGTCTTCTTTCTCACCTGTTTTGTAGCCATGAGGCTACTTTGGGCAGTTGTGGGATAGGACAAATCACATTGTCTTTCAAATGGGAAGATTGGGTCTATGATGTACTAATTTGGGGCAAACCACTGAACCCTAAGTGTCTTAGATGCTCCATCTGCAAAATGGGAATAATAGTTATCTAATATATGAGATTGATATGCCATTAAATAATACATACAAAACCTCTTTATAAACTAGAAAGTGCCATAAGGGACCATTCTTGTCTTCTATTATTATTAGCATTTTACTACTCTTTTTTAAAATACTGGTCTCTTAAATTCCCCAGATAGGGAATAGGGAGAGAAGGCAAACTGGTGTCTTCAAAGGTCCCCAGTTTATAATTCTGAAGGAATTAAAAAAGAGAGGCTCGGCGTCTACTCATGAGTCAGCCTACCCGTGAAAATTCACAGCCAAGCTCAAGCTGGAAAACACGCAAATACACACGGGACTCGAGAACCAGTTAGGGAACAACATGTAGCGACTGACCTACAGTGGGCGGGTGCCCATCGGCAGGGCCTGGCTCCATCCATGCTGAAGAAACAGGGGAATGTGTCTGGTTGAAAACTCCTGTCGGGAGGCAGTCAGGTCTGAAGCTGTTGAATGATTTGTGAAAAGATGCAGACAAGTGCACCAGGGACAAAGCAAACGCTCGGACCCCTCGGAGCAGAGAGCGATGTCCCACTTGGCAACGCAGAAGCTAAGACCTTGAAGAAGATGGTCGAAATTGTGGCTTCAGCGAGGTAGAAGAGGTTGACAGATTTGTTTCAGGTAAACAAAAATCTGAGGTTGTAATTCATGAGAAAGTTCGTCTCAAGTTGATGAGTTTTCTATTCCTTTAGCTCCAGCTCCCTCCGAACACCAAACTAGGACACCTCTTCCAAACTTGCCCTGGGTGTTTTCCGCCTCTCACCTACAGGCGCAGGAGGCCCCATTAACCTGGCACATCTGAGGGGCAGGTCCTTGTTGCCCCTTCTTCTAGTCCTGAGCGGGCGCTGGGTGCTGGCCCGGTCTGACTGACTGAGTCTCCACCCCTTAGACACAGCATTCATCGATGAAGAGAGAGAACCATACCGCGGTGGGTGAATTTGTTCTCCAGGGTTTTTCCAGCTTTCGTGAACACAAGATCATCCTCTTTGTGATATTTCTTACCTTGTACCTTTTAACTCTGGCTGGCAATGTCATCATTGTGACAGTCATCAGCTTTGCTCGTCACCTGCACACCCCCATGTACTTCTTCCTTGGTGTTCTTTCCACTTCTGAGACTGTCTACACACTGGTCATTGTACCGCGGATGCTTTGCAGCCTCACAGGCCTGAGTCAGCCCATCTCCTTGGCTGGCTGTGCCACCCAGATGTTCTTCTTCATCACCTTGGCCATCAACAACTGCTTCCTGCTCACGGCGATGGGGTACGACCGCTACGTGGCCATCTGCAACCCCTTGAGGTACACGGTCATCATGAACAAGAGGGCCTGTGCCCTGCTCGTATCAGGGGCTTGCAGTATTGGGCTGTTTGTGGCCATAATTCAGATTTCCTCTGTATTCAGACTGCCCTTTTGTGACAGAGAGGTGGCCCACTATTTCTGTGACATCCGCCCAGTTATGAAACTCTCCTGTGCTGATACCACTCTACATGACATAATTAATTTTATCATCAGCTCACTCGTTATTGTGGTTCCCATGGGCCTGGTCTTCATCTCCTACGTCCTCATCGTCTCCACCATCCTCAAGATCCCCTCCGCCCGGGGCCGGAAGAAGGCCTTTGCCACCTACGCCTCTCACCTCACAGTGGTCGTCGTCCACTACGGCTGTGCCTCCGTCGCCTACCTCAAGCCCAAGTCAGAGAACACCAGGGATCAGGACCAGCTGATCTCGGTGACCTACACCGTCATCACCCCCCTGCTGAACCCGGTTGTATACACCCTGAGGAACAAGGAGGTCAAGGATGCTCTTCACCGTGCTATTCGCAAAAACCCTCTTGCTTAGGATCTATGGCAGTTTGCCTGTCATCTTCTGGGTATTTCATAATCTCAAAAAAAAAATTGGATTTATTCTCTACCCAGAAAAAGTTGCAGGATGTGGTGGTGGCTTCAGTGAGGAGTCTAGAGTTGCCCTGACTTGAAGTTAATTTTCATCATCATGGTCCCATGCCTTCTACTAATCTCGGAGGTTACCTCCAGAGGCACTGCTCGGAAGGTGGAGAGCTGGTCAGGAACGACAACGTAGAGGGTGGCTCATCATTACCGGTTTGCTGATGGAAGGAACTGGGCTGTATAATACCTATTTGGAGTGAGGGGTTGAGAGAGCCGCCTGAATGCCAGGCAGATCCTGAGCTCTGGAATATCAAGAGAGCATGACTGGTGCACAGGATGTGCTGGAAACACAGTCAAAACTACGTTCCCACTTCTCATCACTTTTCCTCTGCTCAGTGACAAGAGTAACAGACCATGACATTCCAGAAGAAATATCCTCTGCCTTAACATGCTCGCCTGTCTTGGAGACCCATGAGATTTCTTCCGGTTCTACTGAAGCTTGCACTAGAGCTGTCTCCTTGGTGAGTCTCGTATATCCACATGTGCATAAGGAGGCTGACCCATCCGGCCACCGCATTCCACCGCCTGTGAAGTGACACATACGTGCCGCATTCACGAGTGTGGGGCTCTCTGAAGACCTCTTTGGGGAACTAAATGTATCAGCTCCACTTCCCAACTCACTTTGGCTATCTCGGATCTGGGTAATTAGCATGTGTGAAGCCTGAGCAGAAACATGTGTCTTGCCTTCCCTTCCTCATTTCTGCATGGCTGAATTCATTGTCCGTCAACAGTTGGGTGCCTACTTCCTCAGTGTGATCACTTATCCAGATGCAGTCTGGATACCTCCAAGTTCCTATCACTACGGCCTTCTGAAGGGGGAAATTGTACTGATTTGTAAGAAAGGTGTAAGGTTTTAGGGATATTTGGCCTCGTGTGGAAAAGGGGCAGAACTTGCCAGATGTCTTCCTGTCTGTGAAAGGGTGACATTAAATGATCATCATTAGCCAGATTGGGGAATCTGCCAATTCACCAGCCAGCCTTCTCCCGCTCCAGGGCAGTCCAAGTGGTGGCTCCCTGGTGGTCTAGTGGTTAGGATTCGGTCTCAAGGGCAGTCCAAGTGTCCCTACTGAGGATGGGTTGAGAGTGTATGTCCGACAGGCAGCTCGGGGAACCCTAATGGTAGAGGAACCAAGAAGGGAGATCCTCATATTTACAGAGCATTACCTGAAAGAGTGAAAGCTTTGCCTCCTCGCTGCAGCTGCCTTATCTTTGGCCTTATCTGGCTTCCCTGAGAACACCATGGAATCCCATCTGGGCCATGAGGTTCAAGGAAAACACTCTCATGGGTCTGCTTCTCAGAAAGCCCCACTGGAGATCCTGTCTTTGGGGGTCCTGCTCACTGTAGCAGGCCCATTCCCTAAAGCTGTACCCAATACGACTCATTTTTATAGATCTCTGAATTTTTGCACATATTCCCCCTGCCAGGACATTCCACAACTGTCCAGGGCTTTATAAGATTGGTGCCCATATTGAAAACAGTGGGTTCCCCTGAGTTCCTATAGTTCGATGCTGCAGAAAATTATGGGGTGATTTTCCCAAAGTAATGTTTGCAACAATAAAGAATGTGTGTGAACAGTATACCCATCCTTTGTCTTTTTTTAAAAAAAATGTAGTTTAAGGGTGCCTGAGTGGCTCAGTCGGTTAAGCATCCAACGCTTGATTTCAGTTCAGGTCATGATCTCACAGTTCATGGGCTTGAGTCCTGCATTGGGCTCCTTGCTGTCAGTGCAGAGCATGCTGGGGATTCTCTCTCTCTCCCTCCCTCTCTGCCCCTCCCCTGCTCTCTCGCTCTCTCTCTCTCTCTCAAATAAATAAACTTAAAAAAAATTGAATGAAAAATAAAATGTGGTTTATACCATTATAACAGAGCCGGAAAAAAAATTAAGCTAGCGCATTTAATTTCAAAGAGAATGTGTGACTAATTCTCACCCAACACAAATCATGTCTGAACAGAGTGAAGCTGAGGCCCACACCTTGGGCTTAGTCACCGCAGCGTAGCCATTATCTTTAGAAGTCAGCGCCTACCAGGTCAGGGCAGTAACACCAGGCTCCCAACTCCTTTAGGGAGAAAGCTTGATCCCAAGGACCCATCCCTTCTCTCCCCAACGAAGGATTGTTTTGCGTCAGAACATCCCTCAAAGGAATCCTTCTCTTGTTCCAGAATGTTCTTTGCCTCTGTAAAGACACAGAACCCCCCTTCTCACACCCGTCCTCCTCCTCCCCATCCAGAGTTCAGCCATCCTGGAGCAGGCTCCTCGCTGGCACAGACATGGAATCGGGCACGAGGGGACCAGCTCAAGCTCAGTCACTATAGAAGCACATGTTGTGTGAAGGCGCAGGTTTTGGCACAGCTGTCCTGCTAGAAGAGGAAGTGTCCTACATCAACCCCCGTTTCCATCTTCTCGCAGATCTCATCCGTGTACAGGCAGCAAACACTAGTCGTGGAACAGGAAACCCAGCTGACTCATCCAGGGTAACTGATAACAGCCCAGAGCACCCCACATCCCCCACCGCCGATCACGCTCTGTGACGTCTCCCACGGGACACTTGTGTCTGCAGTGAGGGCATTGCAATGGCTCTTCCGGAGCCACGGCTTGGCTGTGCTGGACCCGTGCTCTGAGCCAGAACACATCTGATGAGAGGAACAGTGTGCATGCCCCGAGACCCCCTCCTCTGCACTCCCCTTGTGCAGCTCTTGGGTCCAGGACCAGCTTCCCACTGCGTGTCCCCCATGGCTGCAACGTCAGGATCCCAGGATTACTTACCATAGACTTATTTCCACTTAAGCCTCCTGAGAGAAGAGGGCTTAATCATCATAAAATCAACTGTTTTTCTCTCTTGCTTAGGAAAGCAAATTTAACAAATATTATGGTCTGGAAATAAATTAGAGAATAACGGCTAACTTAATCAAGGGAGGCACAGTCTAGAAGCTCTATGAAGTCCTGAAGTGAGTGAGTTTTGCTGTATAGTAGGAAATGGGAAAACAGCATGTACTCTTGTTTCCTTAGATACAAAGGTTTCTTAAAATTCTCACCCTAGACAAAGAATAGGAAGAGCGAATTTAGGGAGAGGGATCTAGGGGGAGATTATAGACTTTAATATTGAGAGAGAGAAGGAGAGCACCTGTTGGGAGTGGGGAGGGGTGGGGAGAGGAAAGGAAGGGAGAGAGGGAGCGAGCCCTTCACTCAGTACAGCAGGAATTAGGGGAATGACATAGTCCCTGTGATCTAATTATCCCCTGTGTGTGATTTGTGACCTTGCTAATGTACGAACCTGGGGCAAAATAGCGTGGTTAGCCCAAGAGTGCTTTGAATACCTGATCAGCAGTAGTGACATGATAGAGAGGGTGAGCGTCTCGAACTTGAGAAGATGAGGCTGTATTTAATGGCAGGAATAGGAAAAAAAAAAACAAAGGGTGCCAGGACATTTAACGCGTTGTTTTTGCCGCTAACGGAAACTAACTTTCTGTAACGTTTGCCCGTCACAAAGTCCATTTTGCTTTTAACTGGCCTCACCCAACCTTCAAACCAACTCTTTGTAGACTCATATGATTTTTAATCCCTATTTCATAGGTGGAAAAACGGAGGATCGGGGTTCAGTGACCTCACAAAGCTCCCTATGAGGTTTTGTATTCCTTCCTCCCTGCCCTGTGACCCAGACTGAAGGATTGAGAAGGATCATAGACGGAACGCCCCAACCCCACAGTAACTTCTCTTTTTCTAGCAAAAGCTGCCCGTCCCTTTTTGTCCCCTCAGCTCAGAGGCAATGGTGTTCCCACCCAGTAAGCACCCCACTCTCCTTTCTCTATCCTGGGCCTTCCTTATGCTAGGCAAATCCTTACTCCCCAGCATCTGTGGTGGTTTTAAAACTATGTCCCAAAATAACTCTCCTCTCCTTGATTGTGGGTTAACTCACTTGTACTGGGGGGAATACAGCCCAACCAAGGTGCATGGTTTCCAAGATCGGACTGCAGGAAGACTGACTTCCATGCTAGGCCCTTTCCCCCTCTGTGCTGGTTGCTCCCTGTTGGGGAAGCAGGCGCCACGTGGTGTCGAAAGGCCCGAGTGGTGAGGAGTGAAGTAGCCGGTGAGGATCAGAGGCCCCCAACCCAACAGAATGGACCCTGACGATGGCCACATGGGCCAGCGTGGATGCAGGGTCTTCTCCTGGTCAAGCCTGAGGTGAAGGTCCTCCCTGATTTTTGACCCACAGAAAGCGTGAGATACGAAGGGCTTGTGTTCAAAGCTGGGGGGTTTTGAGGGGCTTGGCCTGCAGCGGTGGGTAACTTCTAAGTCATCCTTCATTCGCATTTTCCTTAAAACAGCAGCAGCCACAGCAAGACCACAAGGTGCCATGCTCCTGTCCCCCTGGGGATGTCAGGAAATGTCTTCCCAACAAGGCTTACCACCTGCCTGACTGTGTCACGTCTCCTCCTGGTGAGGAGCAAGGCACCCACAGGAAGCTTCTCCACCGAGCTCTCCTTGGGTCTCAGGAGCAATGCCCCCCACCCGTCTGGCTCCCTAGTTATGTGTTTAGGGACACCGCCTTTGTTCCAGCAACAGAGGACAGCGTTTTTATTGATTTAATTACCTGAACCGGGATATGATTAGAAATAAATGTGTTTACTTCGCTATGTCGTTTCAGTCGTACAGTCCTTCCTTTCTCTTTTAACCGTTCTCCTTCCCGCTGAGCTGCCCTGTTCATGCCTCCAAGGAAAGAGAAGCTACACCCTCCTAAAGGGACATTCTGTTGCCTGATGTGTGTAAGGAATTGTGGCACTGGGTTGTTTGTTCTGTAAGCTGAGCATCGTTGCGGAGCTGCTGGAGGAACCGTTCCCTTCCAGGCTTAGGGCTGGAGTGTCACCAGCAGACCAAGGACAGTCAGTGGTTCAAG